GAATGACAAGACAAGAGTATGACAAAGTGTGTATAACAAGTGAGGTGACAAGGGTGTTTTGACAAGGCAAGGATCTCAGATCAAGACATAGGCTTCGGACAAGAAGGTTTCAATGATCTTGGCTAGGAAGGATAACACATGACCCAAATGTGCCACACCTTGGCCTAGATGTGCCACATCTCGGTCTAGGTCATACCAATCCAGGAACAAGATCACTAGGTGCATGGATCAAAGATCTAGGACGCCTAGATGATTAACATCTCGGCCTAGATGATACACACCTCGGCCTAGGTGATGCACATCTCGGTCAATATGCCTAGGTGACGGTGGAGGTCAACCAAGGTGGTTCCAAGATGGTCCTAGGTGTTGGCGCTCAACGACCTAGGTGTAAGAGGTTCAAAGGTGTGACATAGGCTTGAGATAGTAAGGATAGATGACCTAGGCTGGAGATGACCTAGGCTTAACATGACCTAGGCTTGAGATGACCTAGGCTTAAGGCAGCACCAAGCAAGGAACAAAGCATGCGTACAATACTTAGGCAAAACATGATAGCATCAAGACAAGACAAGGACCTTTACCTAGGCAAAACAAGTCTAAGTCTGCATGTACAAACTTGACAAGGAAAAATCATATAAATGTTCATGAATATGACTAAGACAAGATGAGGGTTGTTATAAGTCCCCTCTTTTCACACTTGGGTTTGTAACAAAGCCTTGGTCATAGATGACGAAGTCATTAGGCGGTTTCTTAGTCTTCTGGAAGTCCGGAACTATCACTATCCTTTTATTACCTTCAACTTTGTTGATTTTGTTCAGGTGGCCACTGAACTTTGTGGCACTCCCCGGACTTGGGTTGCCGGGGCTCTCATTCAATAAAATGAGCTTCTTTCCCGTTTTCGTCTCCTAAATATCATCGTTTATGCTAACATTCATGTTCCCTCTTATTCTTTTTACATTACCCAAGATCAGGGGTATGTGCTGTATTGCATTGACCACCGCTTTCCCATTGATTTGTCTGAAATGATAGTCTCCAAAATGATTAGTGTGTTTGGGGGTTGCAAGTCTTTGGGTCTACCTTATAGGTGTTTCCTCACTCGGTTTTTTACATCTCTTGGTGTCCTCACCCTTGATGATGACGATTTTGCCTCTCTTATTAAACCTATCATAAAATTGATCGTCTCACAGAGTTAAGCCCATGCCAAGGGGGGTTCGTCGGGTATCGGGGTGTCTGATGCAGGTGATGATCCACTTGCCGAGAAGGCCAAGATTGATGCAGCCAATGCTGGTGCACCTGAGATGCATCCTCGTTCGTTTCGTGGCCAGCTGTAGCAGTTCGAGTAGTCTGTCACCCATCACCTTGATTAGCTCGATGCCCGACTCAATGCACTAGATGGCCGCCTTGATCAGCAGACCGCTATGCTGACTTAGATCCTTTCTTTGCTACAGATACAGCCACCGCCTCCACCAAACTCACAGTGATGTTTTTTTTTGGACAATTTGTTTTTTTTTTTGACTGTATATTCTTTTTCTTGTGTCTCTTCCAGACAAAAAGGGGGAGTATATATGGTTGGGGTATATTGGGGTATATATCTTTTTGCATGTTGTTTGGGGATATAGTCTTGCGGGATACTGTGCTATTGGGATATTGATTTTTGATTTTGATTAATTACTCTATCTATTCCCATGGTTTGGACTCATTATGGCTTGATATAATTTGTTATTGATTAATCACTCTATCTAGGGTTTTTGATTTTGATTAATTACTCTATCTATTCCCGTGGTTTTGTTTATTTATTTTTGTAGGATATTTCATCAACGATGTTGTTTGAGTTGGGTTGGTTGTTTGCTTAGTTAGTGCGTGTGTTTGCTAGGAAACTGTTTTAGAATGTTTTTTTCGGGAATTGACAAAGGGGGAGATTGTTAGTCCCTGAGTTTTGTTAATCCCACGAACAAACATTGTTAATCGAGTTATAAGTTTCTTGGTTGTTTTGCCTTGCTCGCTCGAGCGAAGAAGTCCTGCTTCCAGAAGTTGTCTTTGTTTGCAAAAATTTTGGGAAGGAGGATTGTGCGCTCGAGCGAAGGAAGCTTGGCTCGAGCGACGCCACTTAAGAAATTCATGCATAATTGGTACCTCGCCCGAGCAACCTTCGCGGCCTCTGTTTTCTATAAGTATGTGTTTCAATTAGTTTTAGGGTTAACTTTGCTAGATCTATTTTGAGGGCTCTAGGGTTTTTTTTTGGAGACTTGTTTGCTAGTTTTCCCTTGATGTTTGCTTGAGTGTTGAACTCACATGGTCGGATAATACACATCAAAGGGTTGTTTGAGTATCATCTTCAAGATTGTTCTTCTTCGGTGGAATCCAGAGATTCAACCATGGAGCATTCAAAGGTGTTCGAAGCTGTGCGTAGTTGTTGAGTCGACGTGGATATTATGGAATCAACATCAATCTAATCAATTCCGAGACAAAGGTTGCAGTGGAAGATATGCAAAGCGTTGAAGACAAATTGACAGAGGTGGGGTAATTTGTCTCAGTATTTTGTATTCTTTCTTTCCTTCATAGTGGATTGATTTGTGGCGTTTCGCTCGTGGTTTTTTAATTACAATTGGAGGTGCTTCAGTAGTGATTTTTTTCACGTAAAAATCGTTTGTGTTTATTTATTGTTTCTGAAACAACAATCTAGATCATTTTCGTACGTGCTTGATGATTAAATTGTTAGTTTTAATTGGTTGAGAATTGGCACAATTAAATCTTAATCTAATTTCAAATAACTTAGGTTTTTCATACCTTTTGATTATTTTAATTATAAAAATATATTATTTTTACTTTTAAGACATTTTTATTTATATGAGGGTTGTTTGGGATGATTTAAGTTGTTATTTGGCAAAAAAAAATTTAGTTGGGCTTTTTAAGTTGAGATTTTTTTAGTTTGGGACTAAAATGTTTGTTTGAATTGACTTTAATGACTTTGTAAGAGAAAAAATGAAATAATTATAGTTTATATGTGACATTTTAGCTTCTTTTAGCAAGAGATTAAAAGTAACTTTTTTGACTTTTAGCCTCTTTTGGGTCATATCACCGATCTACTCTTTTATATGTTTTTTCAAAAAAAAAAAAAAAAAAAAATCAAAAAGTTAGCTTTTAACTTACTTCTCAAAAACAACCTTTTATCTTATTTGACTTATTTAGCTTATTTTGTCCTTTATGTTTTTTTTAGCCCCAACTGGATAGTCAAATAAAATTTAAATAAGTGTACTTTTTGATTTTTTACAAAAAAATATGTAATATAAGAAAAAAATGATGTAATCCAAATAAGAGGTGATGTGATATAAATAATAAAAAAAATACGTTAAAGTAGTGTATGCCAAATAAGGCCATCATGTTGAGAAAGTTAATATGTAATTCATAAATGAACATAGTGAAATGATATATTAGGGTTGGGTTGGTTTGGGATGTCCTAAAAAAGTGCACTTTTTGACTTATTGGTGGGTTTGGGTTGGGTTTGGGTTGGGTTTGACGTGATGTGTTAGAAAGGTGATGTGATTTAAATAAGATGATGTGACATAAATAAGATAGTGACTTTTTGACTTTTTGACTTATTTAGTACATGCCAAACTAGGCTTTAGAAACATGATGTAGTTAACCTCATATATGGGTAATGTTGTGGTACACATTTTCGTATACAAGTTATGATATTTGTAGAGTTGATTATCACAAGAAAATTATAACTAAAAAAAAGTTATAATCAAAATCACATAAGATATAATAAAAAAAATCTTGAATCATGATTAAAATAAGTCATAAGTTATACGCATATAACCAAATAATAACTAACACCCCGATAAGTGATAACTAAAAATATCACAAAAGTCATAAATAACCAAATATTACATAGGTGATAATTACATTGACTTATTAACTTATTTGACTTATTACTTTATTGGTGATGTTATATATACTAATTGATATATTAATTAGTGTATCAATATAGTTATGACATTGCCATTTTAAAACTATGACCCCATCCATTATTCAAATTATAATGACCTAAAGCCTCTAAAATTATGTTATATCATCCGTTAGTAAATTGATTGATATATTAATTGGTACATATAACATTATTTTTAATCTATTTGAGTCATATCACCTGTCAATTTTTTTACATGTGTTTTTATAATAACAAAATAAGTCAGCTTAGAGTATTTTCAATAGTACATTAATTATTTCATCAAATTTGAATAAAAATTTGAGTAAAAACTTCCTTTGATATCAAGTGTTCCAACGGAGAATTTTGAAATTTCATCAGAACACTAGTCGACCGAGCGGATATCCTGTTGGTTGATCGGCCAATGTAATTTTTTATTTTTTATTATTTTTTTCCCTTGAGGTGGTCGATTGAATAGTCAACTGAGCAGATGATCGGCTAGTGCAATTTTTTCACAAATTTTTTTCTTGAGGTGATCATTTGGAAGGACATTCAAGGGGTCATCGGGAGACATTCGGGAGAACATTCGACAACGGTAATAAACAGTGATTTGATAAAAGATACATTAGTCCTCAGTTTGATGATAGAAAAATAAAATTCTCAATTTGATATTTATTTGATACAACCGTTGAAGCAGTAAAATAACTCAATAAATTTAAATTTGATGAAAAATTGAGATGGTGTTTGGGAAGGGTTTTTTTTACTAAAAAAACATTAAAAGACAAAATTAGTTAAAAAATCAAAAAAAATAAATCCAGACAAAGTGTCACATTAAATCTATAATCATTTCACTTTTTTCTCTCACAAATATCACATCTAACTACAAAAAAAATTTAACTATCTTTCTATACATAAAAATTTTAATCTCTTAAAATAATCAAAACTAAAAAAATTTAATAAAATAACAATTTCCTAAATACCTAAAATATATGTATTTTATGTTGGAATTTAAGTTGCCACCACCATTATTGTAAAGCAATAAAGCTTTCTACTTTTCAGTTTTCATAATACACATAGACTTTTCTCTCTTTATTTCTTTTCTGTAAATTAATACTATATACATCTAGACATACACATATGCTCTCTCTCACTCTCTCATAGTCTGGCACAAATCACAGCAACAGCAGCAGTTTCCTCCACCCAACAGTCGCAGCGCTGCTACCTGCAGCAGCTGCTGCTGCAACTTGCAGGTGAACATCAACCCCACCTCACTACATAATTACTTATATACCCACCGCACACATAATCTCATAAAGTTTGATTTGATATCTAAAAGCTTCTCTCTCTCTTTCTCTCAATCCCTTTACGTATCTCACATCACAGTATATATAAGATATATATATATATAAATATACATCACAGTTCATAGTTGGCTCAACTTCTCTTCAATTTGTTTGCTTTGTTGTGTTGTTATAGGGCTTTTTTGGAGACATAATATGTGTGGGTTGATTGATCTCAACACCGTCGACGACGACGATACGGCGGCGCCGTCGTCCTCCGCCGCCGCAACGGCGGTGTGTTTGGAGCTATGGCACGCGTGTGCTGGTCCACTCGTTTCGTTGCCGAAGAAAGGGAGTGTGGTGGTTTACTTCCCCCAGGCCCACTTAGAACACTCCTCCGATTTTCCCTCCTCCGCCTACGACCTCCCTCCTCACGTCTTCTGTCGCGTTCTCGATGTCAAGCTCCATGTCAGTCACGCATTTTTGCAAACACCTTTGTGTGTGTCTATAAATAAACTGAATTATTGCAACTTCATTTCCATTTTTTTTTGGGGTTTCAATTTGTGCAAATTTTGATTTGATAGTTTTGAATTTGTTGTGAAATGTGTGTTTTGTGAGTAGGCTGAGGCAGATACTGATGAGGTTTATGCACAAGTCTCCCTAATTCCTGATGCTCAGGTTTGTTTCTATGGTTCTGCATTTCTTTGATTGTATACAAAAAATGATGTTTGAGAATACTTGGAATGATGTTTGTTCTTCTTCTTCAGATGATTTAGGCCTTCAAAATTTTGTTTTGTTTTGTTTTTTTGTTTTTGTTTTTGTTTTTGTTTTTTGTGATGTGGGTAATTTGGAGGTTTTGGGTTTTAACTGAATTTATTATGGGGTGAAGCAGATTGAGCAGAAATGGAAACAAGGGGAAATTGAAGCAGAGAGTGAAGAAGAAGACATTGAAGGTGCTGCAAAGTCTAGTACACCTCACATGTTCTGTAAGACCCTTACTGCTTCTGATACTAGCACTCATGGAGGTTTTTCGGTCCCTCGTCGGGCTGCTGAGGATTGCTTCCCTTCCCTGGTAAATCTAATCTTGTTTGTTTTTTTTTTTTTTTTCCGCACATTTTTGAAATTATGTTGAATCTGGTTTAAATTCTTTTGATCCCTATATGAACATTAGGTTCAATTACTTATAATTTTCTTGCTGTAGGACTATAAGCAACAAAGGCCTTCACAAGAGCTTGTAGCAAAAGATTTACATGGGATTGAATGGAAGTTCCGGCACATCTACCGGGGTATGTGACAAAACTTATGTCTCTTGTTTCATCTGTTGAGGCTGTATATTAGTTGTATGGAACATTGACATTTTAATGGACACTATGTAAACTTTCAGGGTTCTGTTAGCTGTTGTTTTCATTTTCGTTTTTTGTGTTTTTGGAAACAAAAAAAATTAGGAAGTTTGTTTTCATATCATTTTCATTTTCATTTTTGTGCAAAAATAGTTTTCAAATTCAAAGCACAACTTAAAATTATTTTCAAAAAAAATGGGTCTTTTTAGAATTTCTTTTTTCAAAATCCATTTCAGAAACAATTTGCTGAACAAAATTTTCATGCGATGAGGCAAGTTTACACAATTTTTTCCCCTTAGACATAATTCAGTTTTTGAAACTACCTAGAAAAGTAAATTAATGGACTACATTGATTGTGGGTGTCGCCCACATCTCGCGAACTTTAAATCTACGCTGTACCCCTCACTTTCGGGGCAAGCTTCGGGGCAAAGATTTATGGTACATGTCATTTTTATTAGAAAACACAAACCTTTAGTTTCCTGATTTAATGTTTCTACCTTTTGTTTTGCATTTTCTGTTTGAGCAGGCCAGCCTCGAAGGCATCTGCTGACTACTGGTTGGAGTGCGTTTGTCAATAAGAAGAAGCTTGTCTCTGGAGATGCTGTGCTCTTTCTAAGGTAAATCCTAAAATTTTGAAAAGATGTTGATGGCTTCTTTCAGATGCTTATATTTTTTTTATGCAGGGGTGGTGATGGAGAATTGAGATTGGGAATCCGAAGAGCATCTCAAGTCAAAAGTGATTCTACTTTTCCAGTTCTTTCTAGCCAGAAGTTGAATTTTGGATCTATCAGTGTTGTTGTCAATGCTATATCCATGAGAAGTGTGTTCAGCATTTGCTACAATCCAAGGTATTTTGAAGTCATTCCAATTAATTTCTTGTATCAGTGTGACACATTCTAAATAATAATTTTAATCTATGGTCAGATTGTTATTGTTTTGAAAATGTGAGAAGTTCCTAAAATATTCCTCTCTTTACTTATCATAAAATAAGAAGAATAAAAAAGAACAAGAAGAATTGGCCTTCTTTTCTGTTACTCATCTTATCACCACATGCCATCTAATATACCACTATTTGATGTTGTTGTTTCCATCAGCTTGTTTTGATGAAAGACCTATTTTCAAATAAAAAAGGCTGCTGACCTCCTGGGATTGACTATATGTATTTATGTGCATACTCTATTTATGTGGATCAAACATCTAGAAAATGTAAAATTGATTAAAATGTTTATGTGAATGTTAGATCTCACACGGTTGTGATTTTTTTCGACTTCCTACTATTTTTCTAGCTATTTATATAAGACGTCATAATTTTTATTGTTGATATGATATTGGTGGAGTACAAATGGTTCTGTCAATTTTGCTGATTTTGTTGGTACAGTATCCAAATCTTGTTTGAAACTAAGATTATGAGTTGCAGAGAAGACAAATGGTTGTATATGACTTTATGAGTTTTTGCTGATTTTGTTGGCGCATTGACTCAAAGCATGAAATAGTTGCAGAGAAGACAAATGGTTGTATATGACTTTATGAGTTTTTGCTGATTTTGTTGGTACAGTATCCAAATCTTGTTTGAAATTAATTACTTCCTAAATTCCGAACCTAGAGTTTCAACATCCTGCCAGCATTGACTCAAAGCATGAAATAGTTGCAGAGAAGACAAATGGTTGTATATGACTATACGAGTTATTAGATTGGTAACTTTCTAGTTGTTTTTCCAAAGTATGAAGTCCACTTAGTTAATTCAATTAATGCTCTTTATATTCCTTGAGAACAAGGAACTCTTTAGCATTTTTATTGTACATGACACTTTTGACAGAAATCTTCTACCGGACCTTAAATTCGTTACTTTATTATCGTGTGGAGGCATTTGTGCCAACCTATATATATTTTTTTTTTCTGTTTTGCATGATCAACTACATTGATGACCAATGTATTTTGTACAATTCACAATGGTTGCGAGTGTTGTGTTTATATTCTCTGCCCTGAGTTATTATAACTACTTAAAAAGTGATGCAGCCTTGGAGTTTAATCATAAATAGGGTGTACATGTAACTCCATCATGTTCGGTTAAATGTGCTTCAATTTACTATGGTGAATTGTTTTAAGTAAAAATTGATTTGCTTATCATTAGTAGCATCAAACCTGATGTAAACTTTCTGGTTTCCATATCTTTAGATAATTTTCCAGGACTAATGTTATCCCTGTTTAGTCGTTCAGTCATTAAATCAGCAGATCAAACTCTACATCGTCCTACAAATTTTCGCTTAGCCTTTCTGTACTCCTAAAGGTCAACTTGCTAAGATGCATTGTGTTTAATGTTTATTTGGATTTTGAATTTATTTGATTTTCTAATTGAATCTCTACTCCAATGTACTAGTTATTCATCTTAATTACATGGATACGAAAGACTATTCCAGTCATTCTCTCCTGGTCTGAACTTCTAGTGCATCTTGTAGGGCTAACTCGTCGGAGTTCATAATACCATTCTGTAAATTCTCAAAGAGCCTTACTAATTCTTGTACTGTTGGAATGAGGTTTAAAATGCGTTTTGAAACAGAAGACACAGCTGAGAGAAGGTCAGTATTGTGTTAATTGTGAATTCCAAAAAGTTGCATTCTCAAAATCTAATGTGTAGTGTTTGTGCAGGTATACTGGACTAATTACAGGGATTAGTGATGTGGATCCCGTTAGATGGCCTGGTTCGAAGTGGAGGTGCCTATTGGTAGGCATCAGTTTTAGTGCTTGTTTATATGCATTCACATGCCAAATCTTTTAGCATGAGTGCACATTTTCTGGAGTTCAGTGTTCTGTATATATTTGTTTGTTGGGAATTTTGTCGTTTGTTTACCATTTAATCATTCATTTTCTGGGAATGATAATTGGTGGGATTTGAAACTTAAGTTACAAACTGGGTATTCATCCAAGATGGCATTTATTCTACAAGGCCCACGAAACAATTTGTTTATATTTCTGTAGATCAATACTAAAATGAATTTGTCATTTGGAGAAACTATCCTTTATACATAAAATTCATATATATATATATATATATGGAGTTTTCTTGCTGCTTTTCTACTTGAGATTGTTCTTTTTCATCAAGTCTATTCTCATGAATGTGTTGGTATTTTTAATGGCGTCAAGCACCTTATGACCTATTGATTCACTTCTGCAGGTAAGGTGGGATGATCTAGAAAATATCCGACATAACAGGGTTTCTCCTTGGGAGATTGAGCCGACTGGTTCAGTTTCTGCATCCAGCAGCTTGGTGGCACCTGGTATGAAGAGGACAAGGGTTGGTTTGCCTTTCACAAAACCAGATTTTCCAGTTCCCAGAGGTCCTCCATTTTCTAGGAATTGTATTGTTGATAAATTGTTTACTACTACTTCATTTAGAAATGTAACTTTAGTCTACTTCACTGGTACAGATGGGGCGGGATTGTCAGACTTTGGGGAATCTTCAAGGTTCCAGAAGGTCTTGCAAGGTCAAGAAATTTTAAGTTTTAATTCTCCTTACGATGGTTCTGATATTCCAAATCATCATCCATCAGAACCAAGGAGGTTCGCTCCTGGTTCTGGTAATTCCACAAGTTCTGCAATAGGAAGTGTGAGGAACCTTCTTGGAGATACTTCAATTTCCTATAAAAGCACAGGCTTTGGTGAGTCGTTTCGATTCAATGAGGTCTTGCAAGGTCAAGAAACATTTTCAAATTCACCATATGGAAGAGGCCCAAGAATCACTGAAGGTGTTCAAGCTTCAAGGTCAGGGAGTGGATGGTCAGCCTTAATGCAGGGTTATAGTACTTATCTTTGTCCATCTGCACCATCAATGCAAGTGTCATCTCCTTCTTCTGTGTTAATGTTCCAGCAAGCCCGTGCTCCGGCTCCTAACTTCCATGGTACACGAAGCGTTAATCAGGAGGAGCATGAGTTTAGCAACCGGTCTTCATTTGATGTTTCTGAAACATATGGTCGAAAGCTCACATCATCCTCGCCTTGTGAACATACCTCTAGGAAGGAAGCCACACAAGGTTTCAATTCCTTTGGTCTTTTAAAAGAGCAAAACCAACTGGGTATCTCACATTCTACTTTTGCAATTCATTCATCGTATAGAGGCAGTCAAGATTTAGTTTCCACATGTAAAAGTAGTTGCAAACTCTTTGGTTTTCCCTTGACTGAGGAAAGAAATGTCAAGAATAAAGATTGCAATCCCACTCAATCTTTTCTACCCCGTGATGAGGAGCATTTGAATCCAAAGCCTACACTGGTGACCAAGATAGTTGGAAACAGTTGTACCAATGTGACTGAACTCTATGCTGTTAGAGATATGCTTCTCGATATTGCATTGTAGTATAAGAACTGTAAGTTTTGGAAAGGGGAAGCGATGTAGGAATGGTTTGTTGATATGATTTCTAAGTGGGAGTAATAATTTGATATTGGAAAAGGCCTTATTGGGTGGAGAAGGGATAGAACTTGTTTACAAGGATCATGAGGATGATTTGATGCTTGGAGATTTTATATAGCAGTAAGTACTAGTCTTTTTAATAGTTGTTTGGTCATTACGAATCAATGTTAGTCTTGTTAGTTTTTGATCCTTTTGCTTCAATTCTAACTTGAAATTATTTTTATGTATGTTTTGCAGGAAATCTGTTGTTCTGAACTTCGTGACATTCATTAATGAAGAAATGCGATGGTGATGTTTTGATGGTTTTGGAAGGTGTTGCAACAGCAGCTGCTTCAAAGAACAGCTTGGTAACTGTTGATATCATCTTAAACTTTTGAAAAAACTTGTAACTATTCTCTGTGCAAGATGTTGCAAGTTGAGACCTAACTCTCTCTCTCTCTCTCTCTGCTGTGGGTAAAGCAATTCTAATTGATTTCATATGGTTTTCGCATAGTAGTATTTATTTGCGAAATGACTGCTTAAACTCACGAAATGTGTTATCCAGTCTAAACATGCTATTGTGACCTGATGTTTAATTTGCTCAGTTTCTCTTCATGAAATTGCTCGTTCGCCTGCCCACATCTTCGAGTTTCCATGTCCTAAATCACCTTTCTGACACACGCTTAAGCTTAGAAAGAGTTGACGTGAATATCTTTATCACACAAACTTGCGTTAATCATTATCCATGTTTTTTTAGCTAACTACAGGGGAAGGGAGAAAGTTGACAGGGAAGAGATATGAGCAATGAGATCGCGATGGACTAATATTCTACTGTGTTATAGATATTATTAAAATCAAATTTTCATACTCCACAGAATGAAATCAAGGAAAAACTTGTAGCAATACAAACCACAAATATGAATGGAGGGTCATCTCTTCCATTGAATAGGCAAGGTCCACAGGTGTCCAGCCTACTTGTATGCATTGTCATATCCTTGTGCCACACTATCACAGAAATGTGACCAGACATCATGATTTTTCATAAATTTTGAGGTATGTGTTCCTTGGTGAGTTTATGATTACTTGAGAAGTTTGGATCTTGATATTTGACGTGTTTAAGTTCATTTTTTAAACTGTTGTGCTTTGGTATGTATAAGGTACATGCATGTCGGTGCCAACAATAAGACAAAACACTTCAAAACCCGTCAAAGTCTTCGAAACAATGCGTGTTTGTCTTGAAGAAACCCATTTTTCTGCTCACACATGGTGCCCTTACTTTACTATATTTATATCTCCTACTTCTCTACAAAAGTTCTTAATCTCACAGCCCTAGAATTATCTAAAGTTCACTATTTACCGACAAAGCTAAGAACTCATAACCCCGTATAATTAATAAAAGCTAGGCATGTAATATTTCTAGAAAATTTTAAATTTTAAATTCTACAACATAATCCAAAAATATGTAGAAACCAATAACAATTATGTTGAGTCTCACATAATACAAGATACACATTTAATAATAAACTCTTCGGCCATGTTTGTTATCCTTCTTAGATGGTGGGATTTGATTGAGGGTGAGGTGGCTTGTACTCAACTCTTGTTTGGTTTTAACCACAATTATAAGACTAACAATCCTATGCGATTGTTAATAAGGGTGGGATTAGTAATCCTATTGGGGAAGTGCGATTCACAATCCAATCCCATTATGTAGAGAGTGTAAAGACAAGATTATCCTCATTTTTCAAAAATAATAAATTAATCTTTTGTATAATGAGAATTTTTAGGTGATTTTATAAATTTAGTCCTAATCAATTAATATAACCACAATAGTAGATAACTAAACATATTCTATTTTACATTTTCAATATAATATTATCACATTAATATTTTCTTCACTCAATCTCACTGTACTCATAATTTTAGCTAATTTAATTCGCCAAACAAACGAGACATTAGGGTTATTTTGAATGTCTTATAAATTTGTTTATTTATTATAAATAGACGTGTGTATAAAAATAGCGGTGTTACTTTTTTTATAATAAATTATTTTAATGTCCTTCCTTTTAAATAATTAAAAAATTAAAAAATATTTTTGAATTGGAGGACAGGTTTAGAAGAAATAAATAGTGTTTGGAATAATATTTTTGGATTTATTTTTTTAAAATATTAAAAAATGTTTTAAAAAATTATTTTTTTTTTATTTTAAATATATAATTTTTATTTAAATATGTTTATTTTATTTTGTAAATATTTTAATTTTTTTAATTTTAATATTTTAAATTCAAAACATAACTTCACACTGAAATCGTAACTAAACACATAACTCAAAACTCAATTTAATTTTTTTTGTTAAATTTCACAATCAAATTGTGACGCCTCAAAATTTAAGGACATTATAATAATGTTTAAAACTTAAAATCAATTTTTTTAATTAAGAATTTTCATCAACGTTGTCACTAAATTTACCATCATCCATTAATTAACAATACAAAAATTAAAAGTTCTTAAATTACAACTCCAATCAAATTTAAAACTTTGTCTTAGTACACAAATATAAAAAGAAACTAGAGAAAAACTAGAAAACTCAAAAAATGGTTCATGGAACTTTGGCACGCTTCAAGTTAATCAGGGCTGAATGTTGCCTTTTCAATACCTCGGCGTTCCTTCGGGTTCTTGGGTACCTGACATGAAACGTCAGGGCAACGGCATTGCCAATGAGCGACGAGGCGCAATAAAATACTACAATCCGAAATACCCGCCCCGATAATAATACTCACAATTAATGAATAATGCGTAGTAACAGAATAACATGTAGCATTTAATAAGCATAACATAAATGCCAACAGTTAAAATAATAACAATAGATAAATAAATAAATAAATAAAATGGCAAATGGAAATAATGATTTATCATAAGGAAAATGCACATTTTTTTTTTAAAGTCACATAGATTTAGTTTAACAGGTAAGTTTAAGTAACTCCCCGCAGAGCGCTATTTCCACTCAACCGCTAAAGCAATGGCCACGGGCAATTCTGACTCCCTCTTGGTCAAATATTCAAATGTTATTTGCTGTAACTACCAATAATGCCCACGCGCTAGGGTTACGTACCCGAGTCACAAAAATTAAAAGTTCTTAAATTACAACTCCAGTCAAACTTAAAACTTTGTCTTAGTACACAAATATAAAAAGAAACTAGAGAAAAACTAGAAAACTCAAAAAATGGTTCATGGAACTTTGGCACGCTTCAAGTTAATCAGGGCTGAATGTTGCCTTTCAATACCTCGGCGTTCCTTCGGGTTCTTGGGGACCTGGCATGAAACGTCAGGGCAACGGGATTACCAATGAGCGACGAGGCGCAATAAGATACTACAATCCGAAATACCCGCCCCGATAATAATACTCACAATTAATGAATAATGCGTAGTAACAGAATAACAGGTAGCATTTAATAAGCATAACATAAATACCAACAGTTAAAATAATAACAATAGATAAATAAATAAATAAATAAAATGGCAAACAGAAATAATGATTTATCATAAGGAAAATGCACACTTTTTTTTTAAAGTCACATAGATTTAGTTTAACAGGTAAGTTTAAGTAACTCCCCGCAGAGCACTATTTCCACTCAACCGCTAAAGCAATGGCCACGGGCAATTCTGACTTCCCCTTGGTCAAATATTCAAATGTTATTTGCTGTAACTACCAATAATGCCCACGCACTAGGGTTACGTACCCGAGTCGTGACATCACGGTCTGCCCCTAGGGAACGGTCTATGTTGTGACACCCGCACCACCAACCTTATATCGCCTACACTGATAAGAGCCGAAATACCTTCCCGTGCCATGTTAGGGTTCGCAACTCACTTGCGCAAGATTAGAAACCGGGTTTACCCCATCACTTTCAAATTTTATATGTATCATCGGTTCAATTTCGTGTTTCTTTACTTCGTTGAATTCACATTTTTATACATGTGTGAGTTTTAGTTTGAGAACCACATTGACATAAGGTTTATATAGCACAACACAATCATATATGGCAACCAAAATAAATGTGATAGAATGTCTTAGGAATCATCACAAGTTTTCCTAAGAATTCACACACTTCTTTTTTCAGCACTGTATGATCAGAAAAATATATATATATATATATATATATATGTGAAACCCATATCAAATGAAGTTCAACCATTATAATATTTTAACTGGTGCTAGTTCATCGAGTCAGGAAAATATTTCGAGAAGAATTCCAGGGCTAAAAACGATTTTAAAATGGAGAAATAATTTTTGGAAGAAAACTGGTTTTCTGGACAGTGAATTACTTTAACCTCCAGCACAGGTGTTCTGTGTTTGAAAAATAAAAAGGGTCCTCAAACGGGGTCGAAAAGAGGCATGGTCCGAACGGTTTGCTAAATTTTTGAGTTTAGAACATATTTCCAGTAGAGTGTAAGGACTGAAAACCAGTCGAAGATGGCCAAATAATTTTTATAAGAAAACTGGACAGATTCAGTCACATTTTGGAAAAATTGACGTTTCTCTCTCAATACTCAATAAAAAATTATGAAACCAGTGGCGTTTGAAAGGTAAAATGTGATGCAAAAAAATTAGTATATTTGGTATGTTTTTTTGATTTTTTACAAAAAGATGTATAAAAAGTAGAGAAAAAAGTGAATCTTTGACTTTTTGGTATGAGTTGTTAGCTTTTTGATTTTTTTAGTGACTTTTTAACTTTTTGACTAAAATAGTCATTTGCCAAACGAGGCCTTAGTTATATCTAAATATTAAAAATTTGTTTATAATATTCAAAAAATTCTATAAAAATAAAAAAATATAAAAGGATAAAAAATTTCAATTTTCAAAAATATTCTAAAAATAAAAACTAAACAAACTGAATATATTAATTTTTAACTCCCTCCTTAAAGTAATTCGCTCTAAAATCTTGACCGTCTAGAAGAAGGCGGTCAATTTTTTGATGATGGAAAATATATCTAACCTTTTTGGAATCTAGCTGGCGCAGTCGCTCCGAGCCTGGTGATGGGTCCGATCATCCTCCATGGCTTTGATTTCAAAATCACATCTAATTTCATGGAAAGTACGGAGGACGGAGGCAATTGGATGGTCAAAAAATTTGATTTTAGTGTTGATAGTTATTATTGATATATTATTATTTTTTATTGATTTGAGTAAAACTATACGATTTTTAATCAATTGACAAAATATAAGTCATTACGCCAGAAAAAAATGAAGAAGATGAGAATCACTTTTCTCCATTTTCCTTATTAAGTTGGACAATATTATTTGGATATGTGAGGTCAATTATGAACCTTATTTCAATCATTCGAATCGTTAATTTTTTAAAGTCACTTTATGTAAATTATCAAAAAAAGTCGATTCGATAAATGTAGATACATAATTTTATTACATTTTTCTTTGAAGAAATGTATAATCTATTTTTTAAATCATTATTATCGTTTATTTTATGAGAGACAAATATAATAAATTTATATAATTATAAATATTGGATGAAACTAATTTTAAAAAATATTATTAACGTATTATTTTGGATTAAATTGAACATAATTGAATCAAATCAAGTTGCAACT